TTCCAAAGCTCTGTTTGAAGCTGTGTTTTTATGTGAGCTGTGCCCTTCATAGCAAGGTGGGGCAGAGCTGCTCTCCTGAAGCCCAGAAGGACAGACATCTCTACCCAGAGGGAGACCTGTAGGTGCTGCCTTGCGACCACCACCAAAGCCCATGGAAGGATCTGATTCCTTAAAGGTGGAAGAAAAAACTCGTCCGAAAAGAAAAGAAAAAAACAAACAAACCACAAATGGCAGCTATGCACATGGCTCTCACCTGAATCATAGGAATCAGACTGATTACACCTACAGAAAGAAATCACTGGAGACACTCCTTACTAGCTGTGAAAACTAGACCAGGTGCTGACTGTGGAACAGACCATCAACTACTCACATGCAAAATCTAACTAAAGCTAAGAAAATGAAAGCAAACCCACAACAACCAAAATTCAACTTTAAGACTTTCCCACCTGAATTTAAAAACCATCTTAAGAACAGGTTTGAGAGGGAGCTCTGGTGGCCTAGTGGCAAGAAGCTGCACTGCAATCCCAGAGGCACGTGGTTCAAATTCACCAGATGTTCTGCTGAAGAAGGAGGGACAATCTCCTCCTGTACCAGTCAGATCCGATTTGACAGTACACACACACAAATAATAATAAAAATAAAAATTAATAATAAAGTAAAATTATTTCTTTTAACATAATAATCCCTCAGTGAGTGAGTCTACACTGGAGATTAATTTCAGCAGTTACCACTGGTTCAGACTTGTCCAGGGTTCTACAGGGATTGATCCTCCTTCCTATTAGACAGAGTACAAATATGTCAAACCACAGAGTACTCAATAAATCAAGCAATAAAGCCTAATTGTACAATGAACCATCTCGCTGAGATAATTTTCTGAGAATAATTTTGAAGAATTAAAGATTTAAAAGACCCAGAAATCATGACAGATGCTTTATTTTCTTTAAGGCACAGAAGCAAGCCCATAAAGCATCCATTCTCAGAGATTTGCGATATTCTGCCTGAATGATAAAAATGAAGTTAAATTCCAGTGATAAAATCAGGAGGTCATGGGTGTTCAGTTTATCATTGTGGTAATAATATCTTAGATTTAAGGTTGGAGTAAGGTGTAAATGGTCTCTTTATAGTTAAGCCAGGCACATTAATATCAATGGAGTGCCACTGTCCTCACATTAACATTTCCCTCCCTTTCTTTACTCACTGAATACAGAGTTTTACAATTTTCCTGCATTTACTGACTTCTTTTTTTTTATAATTTATTTTATATTGGTTTGCCAACAAAGTTCATATACATTGTTTCATACTATTCTTCACTCATATTATATTTTATACAATCATTCCCATACATTATGTTTTATAAAATTAATCACAACTGGACTATGCCCATCATTACCCTTTCTTTTCAGGTCTATGCTTGATCTTTCCCATTTCCTTTACACCCTCCATCCACCCACCAAATTATACAACCCTGTGATTTCACTCCTACCTATCTTCACCTCTCTGCTCTCACCCCTTCACTCCTTGGGTCTCCATACATGTTTTACTAGTTACCCTTCTATTTTTACAATAATGATCTTACATTTATTGACTTCTTGAAGATGAATTGGTAATGATTTCATTGCCACCAATACTCTAAAAGTTTACAATTTTTAATTACTGCTTCTGAAAACCTGCTGGAGGGTCAGCTATGTCTCATTTCTCACTTGATGGTACAGAACACAATAATATATATTTTTTAAGCAAAAGCAAATTAACTCAACTGATTCCAATTGATAGTAACCCTATAGGACAGAGTAGAATTGGCTTTAGGCTTTAAGGAGGCTATAATCTGTATGGTTCATGTGAAAGCTGGACAAGGGATAAGGAAGATGAAAGAAGAACTGATGACTTTGAATTAGGCTATTGGTAAAGAATATTGAATATTCCATGAACTGTCAAAAGGGAAAAAAAATCTTGGAAGAAGTACAGACAGAGTGTTCCTTAGAGGCAAAGGTAATGAGATTTATCTCACATACTTTGGGGATGTTAGCAAGGAGGACCAGTCCTTGGAAAACGACAACATGTTTGGGAAAGTAGAAAGTCAGTGAGGCAGAGGAAGACCCTTCCTGAAATGGATTGCTAAAATGACTGCAATGACAAGCATGAGCATAAATAAGAGGTTGGGAGGATGATATAAGATTGGGTAGGGTTTCTTTCTTTCACACATAAGGCATCTGTGAGTCGGAGACAACATGATGGCATTTAACAACGTTTTTTTTTTTAAATCAGATTGCCATGTCCTTCTGTGGAGAAGCTGGTGAATACACACTACTGATATTTTGGTTAGCAGCCCACAGCTTAAACTTCTAGCACACCAGGCTGGATTGAATCCACCAGCAGCATATCAAAGATGCTCCCATTAAGATTTAACACTTCAGAAACCCTTTGGAGGGTTGTTAGGAGCTGGAATCAACTTGACACCAGTGAAGTTGTCATATAGGTAATAGGTAAAAATATTTACTATGTACAGAAACTTTTTAAAAGTCCTAAGCGTCACAAAACTTTAAGATCAGAATATATATGAGCATGTTTTGCAAGAAGCTAAAGTTATGATAGAGTGAGGTTCAAATCTGCTGTTTATAAGGCCAGTAGGAGTCATGGTTGAAATGACAGACTGGCTCAGGATAGGGAAGGGTTCAGACTGGCTGCACACAGGGTTGCAGGAGACTCGATGGCACATACCAACAACAGTCAGCAACACAAAGTAAGGAAAAGGAGCACCAGTGGTGCATTGGGTATGTACTAACCAATAGGTCAGTGGTTTGAAATCTCCCAACAACTTCACAGAAATCTTGTTATTGTTGTTATATGCTGTCCAGTCACCTGTGAGTCGTAGTGACTCTATGTTCAACAGTCTAAACCCTGCTCTATCCTGTGCCAATCTTATTGTCTCTGACACATCTACGCCCATTACCGCAGACACTGAATCAATCCATCTCATCGAGGGTCTTCCTCTCCTGTGCTGTCCCTCCACCCTCCCAAACATCACATTCTTCTCCAAGGACTGGCCCCTCCTTGCAACATGTCCAAAGTATGTCAGACGAAGCTTCAGAATCTTTGCCTTCAAGAAGCATCCTGGCTTTACCCTCTCCAGGACAAGCCTGTCCATTCTCTTAGCAGTCCATTGTATATTTGATACTCTTTGCCAGCACCACAGCTCAAAAGCACTGATTCTCCTATCATCCCTAGTCATTGTCCAGCTCTCTGGTGCATAGCAAGTAGGCCTGGTTCAGGCCCACCTTATTTTCCAGACTGACATAGTTGCTCTTCAGTACTTTTGAGAGGTCTCTGAGAGGAGACTTTCTTAATGCATCTCTTGATTTCCTGGCTACTGGTACCAAGAGTGTTGATTGTGGAGCCAAGCAAACTAAAGCTGATAACAATATCAGTCTCTTCACTGTCTATCATAATGCTGCCAATTAGATCGTAGGTGAGAATCTTTGCTTTCTTGTTGTTGAGCTTCAATCCATATTGAAGGCTTCAGTCTTTGACTTTCTGCAGCAAGCGCTTCAGGTCCTCCTCAGTTTCAACAAGCAGGGTTGTGTCATCTGCATAATGCAGACTGTTGATAAGTCTTCCTCTAATCCTGATGCCACATTTCTCCTCAGAGAGCCCAGCCTCCTCTATAATCTGTTTTGCATATAGATTGAAAAGGTATCTGCTCCAGTTAAAATGACAGTCAGACTCTGTCCTTTAAAGTTGTTGTGATGGGAGTTTGCTTTGAATCACAATGAGCTCAATGACATGTAACAATACCAACAAAGTCATGACAGAGTTACAACTTAGAACAATGTAGACTATCACATACCACTTGGATTTATAGTCTTATAATTGGCTAATAACCCAATTAATCATAAAGTTTCTTAAGCTTTTCCGTTTGATTCGGTGGTTTTGGTGTGAGACTAGATGTTCCTGTCTCAGACTAGAAGTGAACAGTGAACAGAATGATAAGCCAGACCTGGGAACTACGGTCTCAAGCCTGTATATTCCTATAGGGCCAACATAAGTGATCTCAAAAAAGGGTTTTGGGTCCAAGAAAGCACTTCTTTCTGAGAGTCTTTACAATACTAGTATACATGGCACATTTCCAAGATTGTGTAACATTTTGCAAATTTATCAGACAATATGTATTTATTTCTCCACAGAGACTATTCAGTGGGACACACATTGGAAGAGGTGGTAAAATTCTCTCATCTTTAAGGTCGTTTGAATAAATATTGCAGATCAATAAAATGGTAGATGCCACATATTAATCTCCTTGTGAAGTGTCCTTAAAAGGAAGTGAACTTAAGGGGGAGGCCTGGATTTCCCCCCAGTAAATAAATCTGGATTTGTCCCAGGATCTAGACAGGCACTTCATCAAAACTCCAGATTTCCACATTCTGAAGCAGAATACCTGGTATCATATTTTCTTTTATTAAATAAATGTGTGTAGTGATCAAGGAATGTCTTTTTAAGATTACAAAATCCAAAGCAGCAATTTTTTTTCCTGTTAACTTCATTAAGATTTTCCAGTCAGTTGTGCATATAACTTCCAGACAAGATGCTCCCAATTGTAAGCTAATTGGCAAAAACATTCCAGGCAAAGAGAGGAGTGGTGGGAGACTTATTAAATGGAGATATGGTAGATGGCTACCTTTAAATATTTGAAAATTGGGCAAACAATGTGGATGGCTCTGCCCCTAAACTGTAGGAGGCAGGTTTCTGGTTTAACAGAAAGTTGGTCCTCTAGCAATGAAATGTGTTTTCTCTCAAGTAAAAAGAGCTCTCAAAGTGGAAGGAATGATACAGACAATAGATGATCGCAGAAATGTGCTGCAAGGAATTATTCACATAAAATTCTTCCAGTTTAAATAGTTTTGATTGTCTAACTCAAGGAATTAAAAATTCTGTAAGCTTTTAAGACAGAGACAGATAAGTGGACCCCTATTTCCTCAAATGTGAAAATCTAACACAGAAGTTTATTATATAAAGAACAACTAGAAAAAGAGGGGGCTGTGGTTCTGCCTATTAGGCCTTCTTTTGTTCTTGGGATCTCAGGAAATGTCTGGCTCCTCAGGCGGTACTTTGAAAACCATTGGGCTAGATAATTCCCAAGGCAGGCAGAAAAGTTCTCAAAAAATTGAGGCACACTGCAAAGACTTCAAATATCAAAACAATCATCACTTTGTTCTTTCTTTCTTTCATGAAATCAGAAGGTGGTGTAATATATATTTTAGGGGGGCTTTTCCCCTTTTCTTTCAGAAATAGTGGCTACTTGGGTTTAGGCCTTAAATGAATATATGAGATTTTAGACAACTATTTGTGATATTAACCCCTAAGGAGCCACCGCCAAGAGACTGAATATGTTAGTGGAATTCTTCATTATTAACAAACCAAAATTAAACCATAGCAGCTGAGTGATTCCAACTCAGAATGACCCCAAAGGACAGAGAAGAGCTGGCCCATCAAGTTCCCAAAGTTGTAAATCTTTACAGAAGCAGCTTGATGTCTTATTCTCCCACATAATAGCAGATGGGTTCAAATAGCTGACTTCACTTAGTGGTTCAGTCAGTGCTAAACTTGCTGGACCACCAGCCCTCCCTCAACATTAACATATATTTACCAATTAAATTTCGAATGTAAGAGCTCATTCACAAAATGTTCTTCCTCGATATGGGCAAAGCTTGCGAGGTGAGCACCAAATTCTTCACAAAATGCTTCTGCTTCTCTCCAGGTTCTTTTCATGAGGACTTTTTCACTATGAAATACCTACACAGTAAAAGACAAAAATGAAACATACACTGTTTCGGAATAAGGTGAGTCTGTTTAATTTTGGACAGGAAAAAGACAGAAATAACATTATTGTCATTTTTGTGTATAAGGGGATTGACTCAGAGGAAAGAAGAAATAGCATGTCTTGAACTAGAATGTTGTGTGCCTTTGAGTTGACTCAAAGCAACTCTATATGACAGAAGTGCAACCCTATAACATGACAGACTTGAACTGCCCCACAGGGCTTAGAAGGCTGGAATTTTTGCCAAGAGTAGATCACGGGGTCTTTTCTCCTGTGGAGCAGCTGAGGGATTGGAAACACTGACCTTTCAGTTAGCAGTCAAGCACTTGGATAATGGATCCCAGGGTACCTTAGGATGTACCTAGATATTGTAAAACTTCGATCTCATTTTATCCTCACAACAAATTCAAGAATTTTGTAACAAATGAACAAGCTCAGTTTCATAACTGACTGAGCTGCCTATTGTTTCTTCATAACTCTCCTGTGGCTGTTCTCCTCCTCAAATTTTTGTCAGTGGATGGGGAAACTCCAGCTGAGAGAGAGGTAAAGAATTTCAGGTCACAGAGTGACAAGCTGGCAGGGCTAGAAATAGAACTGGACTTGCTTCCATAGTCTATGCATTTTTTTCCCAGCACTGGAATATTAAGGTTTGCTGACTGATCACAAAACTGACTGAACCCATAGCAAAAAAAAAATGAGGCCTGGCACTGAGAGTCAAGTGCATATTAGGGTCTTAACTAGCCTGCCAGGTGCAAGAGTTCACCAATCTCCTCTGCTCTATTTTTCAGCTGTCCTCACTCTAGCATGCAGTGTCTGCTTTGAGCTTTATTTAAGATAGGAGTGAGGACCTAAGGACCCAGAACTCTGGACCCTGACTTCTGGACCCTAATTTTTAACTGCCTGACATTAAACCTGAGCCACAGACACCAGGCAGGTACTCTGTCGCCAGCCTTCCCAGACTCCGATTTGCAGAGACCAAAATAAACAGCTTTCTGCATTCTGTGTCCTACAGCACAGCCTTTCCATCTTTTAAATTATATGTCAAAACTTACCTCCTCTGGGAAGCTCTTCCTGAATCACTCTAAATTCATAAATCCTACTACCTATGCCTATCAAACACACTGTGCGTTTGTTGACATATGAGGGTGATGTATAGGAAAAAGCACTGACATGGGAGTCCCAACACCAGAGATTTATTCCAACTCTGTCAATAAATATGATCTTTGGCAAATCACCTCATTTTCACTGGCCTCATTTTACTGAAGTCTAATATTTAACTTATTTGCTCTGTGAGGTCAATTTTGGAACCATTATTGCATGACCTTGGTATAGGATTACACACACACATGCATATGTAGATTGTGAGTCTGCCTAGATGAGACTGACACATCTTGAGACAGGGCCTGCATGTGCTCTGCCCCTGCATGTGCAAAAGTTCTGCCCAGCACAGGAGAGAACTTTCAGGAACTTGGGAATCTCAAGGGAATCGTGACAAAAACACCAAACATAAAATTATGACACTTAAAAAAATGTATTTCTGACATGAAGATTATAGAGATGGAGTCTAATTAGGATTCTGCAGCTGATTTGCAAATAAATATTTCTTCATAGACAATAAGGACTCTCTGTGTGTGTGTATGTGTGTGTGTGTGTGTGTGTGTGTGTGTGTGTGTACTGGTTGTTGTGTGTGCTACAGAGATGTTCTAACACATAGTGACCCCATTGGGCAAAACTACCTCATAGGGTTTTATAGGCTGTAATCTTTACAGAAGTAGTTCATTATCTCTCTCTTATGAAGAGGCTGAGGAGGTTTGAACTGCCAGTCTTCTGGTTAGTTTCTGAGCCCTTAACCTTTGTGCCACCAGGATTCCCACTGTGTGTATAAATCATACCTAAGAATTTATTTGATCGTCAAGAATCTGACAAGACCCAAAAGCTGCCCTTAACAGCAGAATGTTATGGTTCCATAACAAATACTTTATGTATTTATTAAAGACAATAATGAATCATACTATTTGAATATTGAGTGAGTGTCTGCTCATCCACTTGGTATATGTTTGGCAATAACAGCAATATTGACTTGAACTATATGTCAGTTATTACAAGGAGCCCTTCAGTGTAATGGAAGATAAGTAAAGGGTTTGGTGTTTTGCTTGTCTTTTTTAAGATAAACAGCTAACAAATCTTTTTTTTTTTTTTACATTGAAGATGTCTTTAATTTTTTCATTCAACCTAACAAATCTTGATCAAGCACCTCCTATGTGCTGGGCCCTGTTCTGTGTGTTGAAATAAAGAGACTTGGGATGCAATGGGTAACATATAAATAATGTTAGTTTTGCTGAGAATTTCCAGGTAAACTTGGCCTCACCTTGAAGCAACTGGCCAGCCCAGGCTTTGACTCCCAGCCTAAACTGCAGGGGTGAAAGGGCCATCTCTCTTCATGCTCATTTTTTCTCCGAATTTCAACTGGCTGTTTGCACAGAGACATTGCCTTGAAGTGTCTACAGTCCTTCACTTCCCAGCGACCAGAGGGGCTCCTTCCTTGAATGACGACACAGCCACCACTAAAGCCTAAAAGCAGAAAACAAGCACTTTAAAGACCAATGACTCAACTCTGCTTTGTGTCTGGAAGACAGGTCTTTAGAGTGTTGAATAACTGAAATATAATGAAGCACCCAGACAAGAAGTATGAAGATGAAAGGGATGATGCTTTATTGGCTTGATTACCTCATTTCTCTCTATCTCTGGGGAATCAGAGAGAGGGGGGAAGAGAGACTGTTTTACTTTTTAATTTTTTTCATCCTGAAATTTGGTCACTGTCTGCTTTGAACTAGTTTTGTATATACAAGAAATTAGGACCTGTTTGAGGGAGCTCCCATGGTGCTTTCTGTAGGGAGTTATGCTGCTAACTGAAAGGTGGTTCTTCTCTGGCAGTTTGAATCCACCAATTAGGTGCTCAGTGGTAGAAAGATGAACAATCTCCTCTCATGTGATTTAAAGCCCCTGAATACCCACTGGAGGGTCAGCTATGACTTGGTCCCAAGTGAGGGCAATAGATATGTTTGAGGAGCTGTTCCTAGATGGGATGGAAATATTTCCTGTATTCAGGCCAGCATCCCTCTCTTTGGAATTGTTGCACTCTTAAAGTGTGCACAGAAAACCCTAAGTCACCATTTATTGAACACCTACTTTATACTGTACAGAAACTTTTTATGAAGAAGCAACACTGAAAAACACCTGGTGGTTACGCTCTGAGAACCAGATTCAACAGAGGGAAACACTGACATAAATAACAGATTTAAGGAAGACTTTAGGGTAAACAACAGAAAATGAAAATGTATACTATGGACAAATGGAGAAATAGTGGTAGATTTTAACCACATTGATACTATGTGAGAAGAACTAGGGGTAGTGGTAAGAGAAAAGAGAGTGATGAGAGGGGCTTTAAAAAGAAAAATGTTGTTGTGAGGTGTCATCGAGATGAGTACGACTCAGTGGCCTTATGAATAACAGATGTACGAACCCTCTCCTAGCTTGTCCTATCTTGACACCCTCGAGCCTATTGCTGCAGTCACTGTGTCAATCCACCAGTTTGAGGGTCTTCCTCTCCTTCACTGTCTCGCCACGTTTCCAAACATGATGTCCCTCTGCAAGGAATAATCTCCCCTAGAAACATGACTGAAGAATGTGAGATGAAACTGCATTGTCTGTGCTTCTAAGGAACATTTTGGCTGCACCTTCTCTGAGACACATCTGTTTGTTCTCTTGGCCGTCCATAGGAAAGTCAGTACTCTTCTCCAACATCACAGCTGAAAGACATCAATTCTTTTTCTGTCATCCTTATTAACTGCCCAGCTCTCAGATGCACAGCAAGTGAATGAAAAGATTATGGCCTAAAACAGCATACCTTAGTCCTCAAATTTACATCATTGCTCCTCAATAATTTGGAGAAGTACATTATTACAGACTTTCCCAGTATAATGTATTTCCTAATCTGACTACTGGTACCAAGTGAGTTGATTATGGATTCAAGTATGATGAAGTTGTTGGCAGTTTCAATTTTTTCCTCTATCTAGTATGATGTTGCTATACTCAAGGATGCTTTAGGCAGAATATTAAATGATCCAGGAAGTATTAAAAGAAGATGGAAAGAATATACTGAATCACTGTATCAAAAGGAATTGGCAGACACAGAAGAATTTCATGAAACAACATATGAGCAAGAGCCTATGGTGCTAAAGGAAGAAGTTCAAGCTGCTTTGAAGGAAATAGCCAAAAATAAGGCCCCAGGAATAGATGGTATACCATTGACATATTTCAGCTAAAAGATGCTGCCTTGGGCATGCTCACCAAGTTGTGCCAAGAAATCTGGAGAACAACCACTTGGCCAACTGACTGGAAGAGATCTATATTTATTCCCATTCCAAAGAAAGGTGACCCAAGAGAGTGTGGAAACTATAGAACAACATCACTAATTTAACATTCAAGCAATATTCTACTGAAGATTATCCAAAAACAACTGGAACAGCACATCAGCAAAAACTACCAGAAGTCCAGGTTGGGTTTAGAAGGGGTCGTGGTGGTTGTGGAGAAACTGGAACCCTGATTCACTGTTGGTGGGAGTGTAAAATGGTGCAACCCCTGTGGAAAGCAGTATGGCGCTTTCTCAAAAAGTTG